TAACTGCTCAAATGTCACTTGGAATGCTGCATAGGCGAAAGGGCATGACCCTGAACTGCCATAGCACTTGATCATTCAAGAGAGCAGTCTTCTCCTCGTCCGGATACAGATTCACCTGCCAATAACAGCTCTTCTGATCCAGAGTTGAGAACCATTTGGCTCCAGCAAGCATGTTACAAGTGTCATCCATCTTGGGCAGTGGGAAAGAGACATTCAGTTTCCAGTAGTCTATGCAGAACTGCAGGTCCCAGTCCTTCTTCCATACAAGAATGACAGGATGACCTGAGGCCGTCTGACTTTGATAACCCCACGTTGTTGCATTTCCTCAAGCACCTGCCCACATATGCCTGTCTTGCTATGGGGAGCATACTCAGGGTTGGCAAATCAGTCAGGTCTTTTCCATAACTATACGGCTGTACACTGTTTGTCTGACCACAGTCAGTGCTCTTCACAGAAAAGACGTTTCCGTACTCGGCGAGGATCTCTTCCAACTTTCAAGACTCAGTGCCACTCAAGTATCACCTGGCTGCCATAGAGCCCCACAGTGATACCTCATCCTCTGCAAGATGCAACATTTGGCACCCTCGGTCCACAGATGCATTGTATGTGCCCAGGTGTCCAGCTGCAAGATGAACTCATTTGTGATACTGACAGATACCAACATTTTCAATGGGGGCCACCCCAGGGTCAGTGTAAGGAAAACTTCAATCAAGATCAGGAGACCTTCCACAGACACCGTCTGGACCATGTAGCATAAGTTCGGCTTCCTTCAGGCCATCCTGTGCTGATGTCACGCCTAACGAGTCACATATGCCCTAGTGTCAATGGTCACCAGGCATGGTTTGTCACTGACCCAGCCATGTTACTAGTGACTAGGTTAGCATGAGCCCTTTTGTTATGACAGAGGGTGGGGGTGGGGGCCTTAATGTGTACACTGGCATCCCCTTTTTCAGCCGATTGGCCATCCCTCTGGACTGCCTCTCTGTTGTTTCTCTGTCACCAATAACATCTTCTCGCCAATTCTGGTGTGTCTCTTTGAGGTCTTCCATCTCATTTCCTGTGCCAGTCATTTTCTGCCTCCCTCACATTGGAGTGGTTACTCCAGAAGTGACATTGCTCATCACAGGTCATCATCAGTAGTCTCTTCGTATAGTGGCGGGGAGACAGACAAGAATGTCCCTGCATTCACTTGCTAGAGCCTCAAGAGAGTCCCAGTAGGTATACTGGTTGACATCAGTTCAACAGCATGATTGAGGGCCTCACTTAGTGTTGTCTTGACCTCTAAAAGTTGCTGTCACCTTAGGTCTCACTCTCTTACACCTCAGCAAATGCACATGCCACTTCCTTACTGAGGTGTTCTTTGGTTGAGTCAACACAGGCACAGTGGGCCAAGTTGTCCATAGCAGCAGCAAATTCTGCAGAGATTCACCAGTGTGCTGGACCCATCTTCTCAGCTAAGAATGGAATGTTGCTGCCAGGTGGTGGTCACCATAGCTATTCTCGACCACCACAGTAATTTCTTCGTAGGTCGCCACAGTGTAGAACATGCGTGGTAAGCACATTCAAGGTGGCTATCAGACATGTGACCTTATTGCAAGGTGTCAAGCCATTGTGTTTTGCCATGGTCTCGAACTGGAGTCAGAACATGGACAATTAAGTACATCTGTCAAATTTATGGGTGTGCACCATTCCTGCGCTAGTTCCTATTCTTTGTTAAGACTCTGCGCTCAGCCCAGGCTTCAATGGCAGAACATTCGCTGAACTTGCAAGAGCCCCAGGCTTTGACTTCGGCTAGCTGTGTTTTTGAGTTCCCAGACGATAGAGTCAGTCACTTCAGCCATCATGGTCTCCAGTCCTCACAGAGTGGTATCTACTAGGGTCTTAGTTTCCTCTATCTCAGCCTGAGTTCCCTGGGTCCTGTGGTTGAGGGGCACCAGGGCATCTTCGACACAAAATTTCATGGATTCTTCCAGCTCGGCCCAAGTGGAGCTTATCACAGTCCTCATTTCCTCTTGGCCGCTCCCAATCACTGCTTCCATCTTTTCTTGATTTCTGTTCATCTTGGCATTCAATTCTTCTTGAATGGTCTGCCCTGGCTTGATGGATATCCATCCAGGAGAGAAGAGTACTCGAAGGGCCTCATACTTCTCATTATTTGCCTCTATCTTGGCTTCCAGCCTTGCTGTCATTTCTTCTTTCATATCATTTAGATTGGTGTTCACCTTGACTTGGGTTGTTCTTATTTCAGTCTTCTTTCAGCCAGCAGACGTGCCATCATTTATTCCTTCTCCATAGTATGGTGATATGAGTATCCACTGCAATCTTCAACCCAATTAGTTGATCAATCCAACCAATCCAATTTCTGACACCAGTTGTTACAATTTTTGGTGACTATACACAGCATTTGGATTGGTAATTGGATTTACTGAACTCTCACAGATTCAAGACTTCAAGTATTATGAATCTTTTACTAATTCACACACTTTACAGTTCACCTGAGCACAAAATTAAGTCTTTTCAGCCTGCTGTCTTCACCAGTCTCCCAGTAATGACTTACAATGGCAGATGGCTGCTGCATATTTGCTTATTTTGTGGCAGTTTCCTGCAGAATATCTACACACAACAATTTATATATGTCTATCCAAATTGATGACTATGGCCCTGATTTGTAACCCTTAATAAGGGGGAAGAGACACTTATCTTCTATTTGGGCAAATACAATACTGATCCCCTTTCACACAAACATGATGCACAACGCAAAAGTGGCTACACACCATTCTCAAATTTTGAAAATAAATAGTCATGTCTGAATTGAGATCGAGACTCCCACAAGCCTAAAATTTTCAACATATAAAATGTAACTTAGAACTGAAACTCAGCAGTTATTCTTTTATGGCAGAAACTAAACAGGCCAAAGAAATACAAATGGACTACTTCAGCAGAATCTCCATTTAATATTCCTTAAAGTAAAGTTTTCCCAAATGTAATATTCAATTTCAATGATCCAAAGTTAAGATCCTTAGGAAGCAAGTACATCAACAATACATACCTTAATACAAATCCAGTCCTGACTGGACTTCTGAGCATTTCTTTCAATCTGTGTTTCCTTTGGAATGCTGAAATGCATGACAGCTCGATATTGATCTTGAAGCATCAATATACCCTGAAAGCAAATCAATGACAACCAGTTAGCATCAAGCAGTGATGGCGTAACCTGCCCGACCATGCTTGCAGCCCCCTCTCGAGAGAGTGTCCAAGCGGCATAGGAGCCATACCTCTGCTTTCCCTCACTCTGTTGCCATTCAGTTCCAGAGAACGCATCTTATTTTAGCACTTAATTAAAATTGTTCCAGAATCCAAAAATCTCAAATTTGAGGTACAGCATAGGATTTAAAGAGAAGAAATGATGTGTAGCCAAAATATGTCCTACAAATCTGATGCACTTTCATGCTTTACACAATGTCAAATTATACTGTACCTACATAGCTAAGATTCAAACAGTGGGATCTTATTTTTGAAAATATATTACAAAACCACTTCAAGAGGGTCAGCTGTTCTGATACTGGATATGATCAATGCATGCTTCACTGTTCTAATACCAAAATATAACAGCCTATAACAAAATCTATTATTATTGTTATTATTATTATTATTATTATTATGACACTGAACAAAAGAGAAATTCATTATTTTAAACTTCAAAGATGCTGTTACTTATGGCTACAATTTTTCCTACAGATTAATGACTCATATCAACAAGAATAACAATATAATATCAACAAAACAAAGACAGGATTGTACTCATTCCCCTGGGCAGCAAATTATTTGAAGAATGAAAAAGAACAAATGTTCAATGTAGCATACTTGGACGACTCAATCAATCAAAGTACCCTTTCATTTAGAATGTATATCCATACCATTTGCAATTCCCTCACATCATTTCTGTACATTTAATTTAGTTGGATATGATGTATAACTCAGAACAGATTTAAAATTGGTTTCCCTTTTTTTTTTAAGTTTTGTATGTTTATAAGTGATCAGAGTAAACAAATATGCTTGTGTGAGACACATTAATAATTTCCATAACTGGAATGTAGTATAAAGCTTGACCTAATGGGGCAGTATTCATTTGCAGAGACTTTTAAATGCAGGAAGTGCTCTGAGGCAAGTCATCAGTCAAGTGGATGGCACACTTCAAAATTAAGATCTGTTTCCACAATAATCAACTTGAAGGATGCAGCGCAACATGATACAGCACGAACATCATGGCTGAGATAATTATAATGTGTTTTCACTATCTGGACATATAGGGATGGCAACACGGATGAGTTAGCGCGATTGAGTGAGCAACCGAGCGAGCCTTCAGGATACCTGTTTCATTTCCATCCATTGAGAGGCTTCCTGGAGCGTGTTAAACTCGACGAAAGCAAAGCCTCGTGATGCACCTACACAGATGGATCAACACAATGTAGTGTTAAAATCAGATATCACACACAATTCCTGCTCTCCCTGCTCACTGGCTGCTTTATTATACATGAAGAGAAAAAGAGGAATTACATGAAATTATAACATTCAACATAAAAGAGCAACAACAAAGGCTTATGAGTCATACATGTAATCAATTATCCTCCTGTTTGGTGAAAACAGTGTCTTCGGTCAGCTGGTGAAAAAGTGTACAGTAACAACATTATTGGTGATCCAAGCAAATGTGACAAATCCAAGAGTTCCCATTGTTCATCCATGCTTTTCCATGTCCATGTTACACAGTGATGTCACAGTTCACAAGAATTTTGTTATCACACCATGAAAAATTTGTTCCTCTTTAACAGTCCTGCCTGATGTAAACCGGAAGCAATTTTCAGTATTCAAGTTCTTGCAGTTTCTCACCATATTCATAGCGGAAACAAATTCCTTCATAAGTTCCTTGCCCACTTTCGTGTTTATATTAGCCTCATATGCACTTACAGCCCTTTTAAGTTCCACACCTTCACAAACTTCTCAGAAGTAGCACCACATAAAACTCCAACCTCCTCCAATTCAACACTGTAAGGTTCCACTGACTCTCATCATATCACAGGAGTCATCTTATTCCTAGTTCTTTCAGCCATCTGTAATCTACTGGCTGGTTAATCAAGTGTACTAAGTCTATCATATCATTTTGGGACAAAACCTGTAATGCAGAAGGGACCAATGTACTCTTCAAGAAGGAACAGGACAAGCACAGTCTAATCCATGACTATGGAAACAGTGATACATAACACAGATGAGAAATAATCTCCTGTCACTGACAAGAAAGTCATGTCCTCATCTGTCAATGTATTAAGATACATTATGTATCTAGTGCTTGTTCCTAGCTGCACACTGTGTTGAAAATGTAATTTCACAGTGTACAACCATTTAAAATTTCCTCCATACAAGGACTTCACAATTTAAGGTTATGGATCACACAAATTTTCCTCCATCTAATGCTTTCTTGAATTCAAGTTCAGGAGAGCAAGTGAAATGTAAATGGGAAATGCTATAAAAATATAGTGAATAAATAACAGCAAATATGGCAAACTTTACATTGCAGGACATTATGTCTCATTTAATGAGTAATGTATTTTAGAAATACTGTATATACAGTGTGACAATTAAGTTCCTGAACTGACAAAAATATTTATTAATACCATCACTCAATACAGTCACGCCTGCTTCCACACAATGTTTACATCATTCATACAATTAATCGTATGTCTGAGAGAACGCTTCTTCCCATTTTCACTTTCAATTCTCATGTCAGTCTGTTGGATTGATGAAACAGCCTTGAATCTCGTCCATTTCTTCACAATTTTTAATTTAGGAAGTAAAAAAGTCAGCCAGAAATAAATCAAGGTGTAGGGTGGATTGGATAACACAAGGATGCCCCATTGTGCCAAAAACTCGGAGATGACGCTTTAAGAATGCGCCAGTGCATTGTCGTGCAGAAGATACCACGATCCACTTTCCTGAAACTCAGGTCTAACACAATGCACTCGAGCGAACAAACTATTCTTAGCCACTTTATGAAATTTACCATTTACAGTCTGTTTTTCTGGCACAAATTTGTGACAAATAATATCTTTACCATCAGAATATTCAGTCCACATTGTTTTCATCTATAATTTTTGCATTCTCACTTTCTGAGCTGCTTTCGAAACTTTTATGCCATTCAAACATTCTTCACCGTAAGCACTTTTCAACATTTCAAACGTTTCAGTAGACTTTTTCTTTAATTTTACACAAAACTTAATTTCTGCTCTTTGTCCCATTTTGAAAAACTAACTTCACCAGAAAATTTGTAATCCTCATAAGCATCAACCAAACAAGTTGAAACTTGCATATCATATAAATAAACTTTCTCTCTAACTAGTCCAATTCATTCCCAATAGATGGTGTTAGTACTGTAGTAGCATCAGTACAGTAACTTTATTGTCACACTAAACAAATAGCCCAAACTTGACATTTGGTACATACAGCTTCATACAGCTTCTTTCAGGGGCTACAGGTCGGGTACATCTGCATCACTTACAATGAATGCTAATGCCAGTCCCGTTTATCTATTTTGATCGTGAGTATACACACCACCTGAAGTTTCTAGAAGGTTCTTCTATTGATGATGTATAACACCAAGAATTGCTGGGTTTTTGGACCTTGTCCATTGTTTGGCATTCTAAAAAACATGAAAGAACACAGAAACGTGATAACTGGATCTGCTTCTGTCTTCAGGTAAGGGGTGGGAGACACTCTGTTGGGACTGTTACAAAGAGCTAACCTCAATCAATGATTTTTATTGTATATTTTCCTGTTATCTCCCACTGACAAAACCTGATCTCAGATGTTTATATAGCAGTAGTTATACTGACACAGGTTGCCCAGTGATTGAAGTTAGCTATTTTTAACAGAACCAACAGAGTAGGCATCTCCCCACCCCTCACCTAAGGAGAGAAAAAAATCCAGTTTCTGAAACGTGTTCTCTTCTGTTTTTTAGAATACCGGACAATGGACAAAGTCCAAATACCCAGTACTTCTGAATATCATTTGAATGTTAAAAAATTTCATATAGACACACACACACATACAGAATGGAGTGGACAGGCTCATTATCAATCCAGCTATCATGGGTGGCAGGGTAGCAAAAGAGCTTATGCTTCAGCATACAGACAACTGGTTTTCAGTGAAAATCCGTTTGAAATGTTTAACTTTAACTTCGCTTCCACTGTACATCATATTTAAGTGGCTGGTAGTCCTACTTCATATTTTGGACGTTCAGAGTTTTAATCTCAGCTCAGACACCATATTTCCTAACAGGTTTTCACGGTTCTCCCTAGTCCCCTCTCAAACAGATATACAGAGTGTAAATAAATACATGTTACAACACTTTGTGGTAGATATATGGGTTCAATCTGATCATACTTTGCTAATACACCCATATCCGGAAATGCTTCCTTTTAGCACTAAGAGCCACAAAAGTTTCTGAGAGGATGCCTAAGTTTTAGGTGATGTTATCATCATTTTACATTATGAAAGTTGCTCAAAATGATGTCCACTGACGTCATTGCATATCTGCACTGCCTGGCTATGTTATGCTGAACTCTCTGAAAGATTCCCGGTATTTCCTAGATGGTTCCAGTTGCTACTGCCATTCTTGTCACAAGATCATGTTTTGTCTCCACTGGGGTCTCCAACGCCAGGCTTTGCATGTACCCCCAGACAAAGAAATCCAGTAGAGCCAAGTCAGGGGAGCAAAGGGACCAGGTTATTGGGCCTATAGGGACATGGGTGCATTTATGAAATATGATCACATTGAACACATCTATCTACCACAGAGCACTGTAACATATTGTCACATGTTTGGAATAAGCACTTCCATGGTAATGCAATAACAGTGGGCCGTTGCATAGGAATTGCAGAAACAACGAAGCAGCGTTTCCCCGGAGATGAACAACAGAAGGCCGTTGAGTAACAATGGATGAGACAAAACTCGTTACCAGTGTATAAAGAGCGTTCCTGAAGCAACGGATCGCCAAACACGTGAGACCGAACCTTGGCAAGAGGTGTCCTCTACTGAGTCCACAGAACACCTACATAAGCCGAGAGCCATACAACACAGTTGGAACCTAGTCGCCATACAAGACAGCTGAAAGATAGCCACTGCAGAATACAGTTCAAGTGATAACAATTGTAAGGTGCGTAAGACTGAGTGTCCAATAAAGATTCACTGAATCCAAGACCCACGTGAAGTTATTTGTCGCGTGACACATCCAACACGTGACAATATATTTATTTTCACCCTGTATATGATTAAAGCTTTTATGGTGATAGTACACAACAGTCTTCTTGGGCAATTAGTCATGTCAATGTGGGGCTGGTGTCTGACATTTCACAAAAAATCTGTCTCCATCATCAGGGGCTCATGTTGAGTGTTGTGTTCACATACTGTATTTACACAAATTTTGCCATCTATCCCAGCCTGGGCAATGTGAGGAACAGTGAACCGGAGACTCAGCAAACATTTTGTCCCAGAACAGACCACACGGGGAACAGTTGGTCACTACTCATAATTCACACTGCAAGTCACTGGCCCTTCCTTACAACGTTTTTCCTTATTGGTTCTCTCTTCTGTCTTATTATGTTTGTGGCAGGTACCAAAATGGCTTAGTGGGAATCCTATATCTCTGTGTGAATTATGGGGATGCAACCAGACCTCCTCCTTCGATAAGTGGTTCATGTATTCCGTCATTCTTCCCCAGTATCATTGTGTCCTTGAAGTTTATAAAGCTGTGCCAGGATGTTGTGCCATGCCACTGACAACTAATATAGCTGGTATAATTGTATGCATCATATATGTTCATTATACCTTGTCCCATCAGGTGGCCCATCTGTCCAGCATACACCTTGCCATACTCAAACAGGATACACTATGCACCCAGAATCCTAAGCCTATGTCATTTTACACAGAGCATATCTGTGCCAGTATGTGGGTTTCTGTGAAAATGTCCTCAAAGCCTACCTACAGAACATACGAGGGTTGGAACTTTAATAGTGGCAACTATTTATTTACAACTGATACAAAATAGATGCATGTTTTGAAGTTTTACTGTCCTTCACTGTAGTCACCAGCATTGTGTACAACCCATTGCCAGTGATGTGGAAGTCGCAGGATACCTTTAGCAGCGCCTGTTGTGTTGACAGTTCAAATGGAGCAGTCTACTGCCTGAAGAATCTCTGAAACAGTTCTGAAGTGAATGCCATGAAGTGGTTCCTTCATCTTAGGACTCAAATCAAAGTCACAAGGGCTTAAGTCCAGGGAGTATGGTGGATGGTACAGCACTTCTCAGCCCCACTGATTTAACAAATCAGCCACAGCTTGCCATTTCTGCATTTCTGCCAAATCATGCGGAACCCATCATGCTGCAATTTTTCT